GCTCATCCCTCGAGCCATGCATGCAAATGTCAAAAATAAATGTTAATGGCATCAACTTGCTGAGTTGTGTGGACAAGGTGATTGCCCGAATCATGCTCAATCGCCTCGTGAGTCAGGTTGTGGAACCAAACGTGGCGGAAGAGCAATGTGGATTCCGTTCGAGTCGCAGCACTATAGATATGGTGTTTGCTGCTCGTCAATTGCAAGAGAAGTGCAGAGAACGACACCAGCCATTGTACTCGCTTTTTGTTGATTTCACCAAGGCATTTGATACGGTGAACCGCGAGGCATTGTGGTTGGTGTTGGGTAAGTTTGGTTGCCCGCGTAAGTTTGTAAGTTTAATTGAATGTCTGCACAGTGGTATGCGAGCGAGGGTGCAGCTGAGTGGAGAGACCTCGGATGACTTTGCAGTTGTCTCTGGTGTGAAGCAAGGCTGTGTCTTAGCTCCTGCCCTGTTTAATATATATCTTCATGCAATGTTGTCTTGTGCTTTTGATGCGGCTTGTGCTTACGGTGTTCGTGTGGAGCACCGTATTGATAGTGGGTTGCTGAACATCCGTCGTTTCGGTGCGAGAACTCTAGTCTGTGAGACAACTAGCCGTATGTTGCCGTTTGCTGACGACTGTGCATTGTTTTCACACAGCGAGGATGAGTTGCAGCACATGAGTAGTGCTCTGGCTTCGACAGCGGCCAAATTCGGGCTCACCATCAACACAAGCAAAACGACTGTCTCTTTCAGCCTTCACCGGAGGTGCAATCTTCAATATCGACGCAAATCAGCATTGGTGCTGAAGTATTGGAAACCACCTCCCGCTTTTGCTTCCTTGGGAGTGTGATATCGACTGATCAGAAGCTACACGTTGAGTTGCGTATTCGCGTGTCGAAGGCGGCAGCGGCATTCGGGAAGCTTGAGTACCGAGTGTGGAACAACCATCAGCTTACCAGTGGCACGAAGCTGATGGTGTACAAATCCATGGTACTGTCCGTTCTTCTATACGGCAGTGAAACGGGGACGATGTACCGTCGGGATGTGCGATATCTCGAGCGGTTCCATCAGCAGTGTCTGCGACGAATTTTGCGGATCGGTTGGGGCGACAGAGTTGCAGACACGGAAGTGTTGCGCCGAAGTGGGATGTATGCAGTGGACGGCAGACTTTCACTGCGACACCTGAGATGGCTCGGTCATGTGAGCCGTATGGATTCGGCGCGGATACCGAAACAACTTTTATACTTTCAGCTGAGTATAGGGAAGCGGCATGTGCGGAAACCAAAGTTACGTTACCAGGACATGATTAAAGTGAGCCTCACACGTTCTAATCTTGATTGCAGATCATGGGAATCGAAGGCGGTTGATCGGCGTGCATGGCGCGATCTAATCACGAAGGCAGTTGCTGAAGTGCGGGAGAAAGCCCTCATGCATGCAGAGAAGAAGCGGCAAGTGCGGAAGCGGCAAGCACCAATGAATTGTACTCCATCGACATCGAGCGCATGGCGCTGTAGCACATGCGGTCGCGAGTGCCTGAGTCAGGCAGGAATAGTGAGCCATGAGAGAGGTCACTCGGGACCACTGCCGAAGCGACGACGGGTCCCGCAGTGAACGTAGGCAGCACCGGCGCAGCGTTTGTAGGCACGCTGAATTCGATTTACTAACCGCATGCTTGCATGCTAAGTCTCTTTATTTCAGGTGGTGGGTTTTCAATTTTGCTTTAATGCTTTGTTTCTCATATAAATGTCTACCTGTACTCTATCCCATTAACTTGCACACCTCGCCTAAGCCAATTGTATTCGATTTCCATAACATTTTTGTGTTCGTGGCATTCCGTGAACTATACTTTCTGACCTCGTGCACTTAGCTAGGATTTGTTTGTAAACAACTTATTACATGTGCTCATTAAATAAAGGTTTATGTCACCGTTTCCTTATGCATTAATCGAGTTATTTTCTTGTCTCTCTCTCTCTCTCAAGTGATTGGCTGTTGTTTGATATCCCCGGTGTGGATGCGCTTGATGTGCATGTTGACAAGGTGCCTACCTGTCTATTACCCACTACCTCGTCCATACTGGCTCCAGGAGACAGTTGGTCTTTGCTGGAAGGGACGGGGTGCACGGTCCTTGTGGCCGTGTTAGGCTCGAAGAGTGGTTTCATGCACTCAGTGTGGAGCGGACTACGGTCCAGCCACCGCCTTGTGTGCGCTTGATTCCCAAATACAGTGTGCTTGTGTTTGCCTGTGAAGGAGTGTGGGCCGGCTCCGTTGATGAAACGTGGTTTCCATCCGCATGCCTCCCGGTCTTATTCCTTCGGGTTTACACTGGATATGGGGTGTGTGATTGGAGCTGTGGGTGGTGCAGCGCAAGCCATCCATGGTCCCTCTGTAGGCGCAGGCGTCCTGTTGCTTGCCACAGTGACAGGCAAATCCGAAACCGGATGCCGCCAACCACATAGGGTGGTGACGGGCGTACGTACAATTCGGCCGGTCAATCACTGCACCTCACACCTTCAATGATGGATGTAAGAACAATCTCACGCTGCGACTTGAAGTCCGCGGGCGCTCGAACGCAGCTTCTGCACTCTGTCTGAAGTGGTAGCCATTCGTCTTTTCCATCATCCGAGACCAATGCTGGAATACGGCTCATCTGCCTACTGTAAAATCAGCGGTGGCGAGGTGTAAAACTACCAGGCTCATCCACACTTAACGGAGTATGCCGTACGAAGACCAATGGCGTCGACTAGGGCTGCACACCCTGTCGTTTTGTCGCTTTCGGTGGACCTCATAATGACTAGGTTGATTGACTTTCTGACGCTGAAGCAACTGCTGCACGTGTGCGGACCATGCAGCACTTGCGGTCACCGGTACATGCTAGTGGCACTGAAACTGAGGTGCACAGTTCACCCACTATGTATCGAGAGTCAGGCGATGAAATATTGGAACAGTTTGACCGAGAAACTGGTCGAGGCGAAATTGGTGCCGGAATTAAAGCAATTCCTAGACGCCCACTTTGTGGATTGTAGCTTTCTAGGGTACCGCACTTAAATAGAAGGTCCCACAACTGAATTACATTGACAGTGCGGAGCAATAAACGAGGTTGTGCCTAATAGTATTCTGATGGCGCAACACAGATTTATCTCTTATCGCTTTCTACTTTCACAATTCAGTAGTATCAACACGAATATTCGTATACATTAACCGACGAAAGCAGTTATGCTTTCCGAGCAGACGTTGTTAATCCTGTTAGGTAAATAGCCTAAATTCCGTTAAGGATCGTCGACTAAACTTCGTCGGAGAACGATGGGTACGTGGTCACCATTAGTCATTAATTAGTTACAGAAAACTGATCCAAGGTATAGTCCCTTGAGTAACAGAAGTTTTACTCCCCAAACGTGAGCGATCACCGGGATAAGGGTGCCATTATGCGATCGCATCGTGTGACCTCTTACCCAAAGTCAAGTATCCATTGAAATGCTTTGGCTATCAATCCAGTCATAGCGGGTTATTGTCAATATGAGGCCATTCTAAAAATGACAATCGAGGTAGTAAGTCACCTGAGAGACAACCAGATGACGTTGGCAAGGCAGTATAGTTATCATCACTATGATGGTACGCAGTACCGACGCTTCACTGCTGCGCAATCACCAACAGTCACGCATGGGCTAAGCATACCGCGAGGGTCGCCCAGCACCATACGCAGGCTCGAACTCGCGCCATCAGATTACAAAGCAGCCTTGTGATACTTAAGGCCACGGGTTGGCAATGGCATCAGCACTATATCCGTAAGTTCTGCTCTCTTCGGATGTGCTCTTTTGGATTGCCCTGTTTATACACTAACATTACGGGTGTTGAGCAAAAGTGGTTGGACAACACAAAGTCCCATCTTGCGCACCCAACATAATTTGTGTCCATGGTTACTCAACAAGTGTAAGCAAGTTCTTTCGTAGCTGTTCCTTAGAAAAATTCATGCAGACTTCTAAATGTGTCTTCCTGCGCTTCCGATGGTCAGCAACGCATATGCATTTTGTTTTGATAGTATGTTTGCACTAGTTGTTAGTACTTTCAGCTAGACCCCTGTAAGAAACCCGTTGGGTCTCAAGTGTCTTCCATGATTGAACAGCTGTGCCCTTGGTCGGGCACCAATGGGAACCATCGAGCTATGCATGTGTTCGTTTAGTGAAAACAACATCGAGGATGAATGTAGGGATCGGGCTCAAGTCAGTGAAGTGTTTCATGCTCAGTGCCTTCGTTGCTACTACAGTGGATGATCGATTTGCGGAGACATGATCACCCAGAGGTGAACTACGGTGCAGCTGGATCCCAATAAAATGGTAATTAGCAGGTGCTGGGCACTCTATCGACTCAAGCAGAACTCATTGGCCGTGAACTAGGTCGGTAGGTCTATCGATGCAGCTCCGAAGTTGGATTACAGCATATGTAAAATGAAAGTGGCCATTCCGTGTACATGGCTGGTCAGTGTGAAGAGCTAGCTTTGAATTTCGCATGTCCATCAAGCTAAGTGGGGCGAATGGGCCATCTCTGTCAACGGGAATGTAAAATGGAATATCCTGGAAGGATAAGAAACCGGGTTATAATGAATGCTAAATGTAACCAAGTTGACAAATCGACGATGAGGCCCTTGAGCTGCTAGGCAGCGGCCTGCCTCCGTAAGGATCGAAAACAGATAAACGACGGTGTATTAACGGAACACGAGATACCAATTAAACACAGAACGATCTCGTCATGGGTACCACTTGGTGTGCGCAAGACGCATCATGGTTTGCATACCAGTTCCAGGTCAAGACAGGATAACTCATCCAAGAAATCAAAAGCTACCGTTAGTAGACTAAGAGAGATAGGCGGTGATCGCTTGGTTTATCAGCCTTTGTATTCGTGCCCACAGCAAATAGATGTATCAGGAAAAGGTGTCATCAGAAAAAAAAGCTGATTTGAAAGCATACACAGTACTTGCCAAGCACAAATACCTTCCCATTTTTACCGCATGGCAGCGTACCGGACATCCTTCCGAACAGTCTTTTGCAGCAGTCGACTTCTAATTCGTTTCCGTTCGTCCTCCATACACTTTTTCTTGCTTATCATGCTGAAATGTGCTAGCTGCAGCGTGTCCCACAACATAGCCTCTTTGATCTCTTTGTCCAACTTGCTATCTGTGCTAAAACTTGGCGAATGGTTCACCTATGAGAAGAAATTAAAAAGTTGCAGTGTACTCCGGATGTATATTGAAAAGTACGGAACAGTATTGGCAAAACATAGTCAACACACGTGTAATCCTTGCTAACCCGTTGGTAGGTCCGCATTCCTTCCGGAGACTGGATAGGGTGAAGGTTAATTACAACCTTTAGACATTAGCGACATTGCTCTACCTTAGCCAAGCACCGCGATCACCTCCAATTTTTGCGTGAATTCGTCGGAGGGAGATAATCGGACCTGAGAATTGAGATCAGACTATCGCGTTTGCCGATAGACACTTACAACCAGAAAACCATACCCGGTGGAGCAACACCGTCACAGTGGTTCGGTTTTAGATTGCATACTGAGCTTTGGAAGTGCGGGACGCAGTCTGCATTCGGACCTCTGCTTAGTAATAAGCAACTGTCGACTGTTCAGATAAATGCGACAGAATTTGAAATAGAGAATTATAATTCAGTATCCAGGCACAGTAATCACTCTATTGAATCAGTTTCAATACTTTTGCCCGATTCGACCAGCGATGTGCAAAAAAAGCCTACCGATAGCGCTAACGCAGCATTCGTGAAACTATATATGGTATCTCTTACCTAGTCAGAAGCACATAATACATAAAAGCCCAGTACACTGCTGCCGTTCTTAGTTGGACACAGCTACAGTCGACATACGTCAGCTGAAGTTTGCTAGACTTTCCCTGAGCTAGCAGGTGTCAGAGTGTGAAGCGGTTAGCATATCTGAATGAAGACCCCGCTATTCCTCGTTCCTGAGACAAGGCCATATCATCACTCAAACACAAGTACACGTTAACACGCTCATCATCCAATGTGTTTTCGGCCCCGGAGATGGACATGTTTGTGATCCACTCATAGTTCTATTTGTGTTGGTACTTTTCCCGGCGATGGATGAAGGAGTCCAACATTGGAGACTTTGGGTCCTAACTGTCGATGGTATCAGCAACCGCTATGTTACCATGAGTTGGGATTAGGTGGGGTGGTGACATTTGTCGTTATGATTGCGTTGAGGAGCAGGTTCAACGCGTGGCTCAGCACCATCACCCTACAAGTTAGCTGGATGTGGGAAACACCGTAGCTTTTATGCTGCAAATTATATGCGAAATGGAAAATTGACAGAAAACACAGGCACACTAGTTAAGCCACTAGTAACGAATGGACCTCGTTCCGGAGGGCTAGCGTCCGGCTATTGAGCCGCAAAAAGGAGTTATATTACGCGTCACGGAGTAGATCGTGGTTGGAGGGGGAGGGTAAACTAAACTCAAAACACAAACGCCCCTGAGATCGGTTCTTCGCCATGCCAACAAGTATATTCAACCAAAAGTGTTCATTGTGCTTCGGTCCCCAACCAGGGAGCCGAGAAGCTGCAAGCGAGGCCAACTTCGAACTAAGGGCCTTCATTCCTCTTATCCAAATCATCGCTTGGCCACCCTACCTCTTCTCCCAATTACACTTGCAACGCGAAAGCAATGCACTTCGCCGGAGTCGAGGTGTTGGCATGCGCAACACGTGGCCCAGCCATCGGAGCCTGGTTCGTGAAATAACCGTGCTGAGCGCTTCAGTTCCTCTTCCTGTACCACAGAGTGCATCGAACACGCTCATTGCTCACCCGGTGTTCCCACCAAATGTGAGCCAAATTGCGAAGACACCGGTGGTCGAAGGTAACTAGTCTCTTTACGTTTGCCGATCTAATGGGCCAGGTTTCGCAACTATACAGCAGGGTCGAAAGTACGGCTGCACTGTACAATCTACCCATAAGGGAGAGTGCGATGTCGCGCCGGCGCCCCAGGTGGAGAAGGTTAGCAAAAGCGTCTCTAGCTTTTACTATTCGGCCCGTGACTTCGTATTCGATTCCACAAACAGCGATAAAACTGCTCAGGTACCTGAATTTCTGAACGACTTCTAACCGAGCTCCACCACTGATCAGCACAAGAGGCTTTCCTTGCCAAGCTTAGAAGAAAAGAAAAAATAAAGAACAAACGCATTGCACTTTGAGGGTGCAAAACACAGATAGCAACGACTGTCAGACATAGGCAAGTTATCCAGTGTCGTTTGGCACGTCTGTGAGATGCTACAGATGAAGGCAATGTCGCCAGTATACTCCATGTCAAGAAGTCGTTTTACTAGGAGTAGCTCCACACCCAAGTAGTGACCAGTGAGTGCGATTTGCATGAGATCGTCAATGGGGAAGTTGAAGAGGAATGGTGAAATCAGGCATTCCTGTCTTACGCCGCCGGATATATTGAATGGCATCGACAGCTTGCCACAAGACCTCGCTCTGCCCGACCTACGCGCGTAAAAGGTTGAGATAATATTTACATATTCCTCAGGCAGATCTTTCCTTCACAATCGTTCCCAAACAACACCTTGATTCACGGAGTCAAGGACACCTTTGAGGTCGATGAACACGACAACGGTGGGCAGCCAATATTTGTGACGGTGCTTCAACAATTGGCCTAAAGCGAAGATGTGATCGATGCATCCCACCTCGACGAAACCCGGCTTGCTCCTCATAAATCTGGTCTTCACGGGTGGTAGTCGTTCTATAAAGAGTGACAGGGGCAAGGAAATTAGTAGTGATGGTACTCAGAAGGATTCCTCTATAGTTGCTGCATTAAAAAGGTGAGCATCCATTGGAGATCGGGACAGTGCTCCCACAGTTTCACTAATATCAAGTGTAAATCATCCACAAGTGCAGGCAGCCCGAACGTAAAGAAGGCTGCATGAAGATCATCTGGTCACACGGTTTTATTCAACTTCAGCAGTCTGATCTCAAGTTCGACTTCGACGTGAGGTGGATCCAAAGGGACAACGCATAGAGCAGGATGGTACATGACCGGCAAGGAATCTGATGATTAATGCTAAGTAAATTGTCTTTCAAAGTGCTCAGTGCAATGCTCCAAGTGTTTTGACAAGTTGTGGATAGGCTGTCCACTCGCGTCACATTTAGTTTCACTAACACCGGGTTTCCTGCTGCTCGTTTCCCGTATCGGACGAAATAACAGTATGGTTGCTAAGGGCAGCGGCCACTTCCATTTCTGACGTATGATGAGACCCCTAGGATTCGTGATCTCTCTTCATGCAAAGACGGAGTATTGTCCTGAGGTCTTTGAGAATCTCATTGTGTTCGCTTCCATCGGGAATGTGTCGGCGGGCATGCAGAAGTTCAAGGGACTGCGTCGAGACCCAGCGTGTATGTTGGCCTTCAGATTTACCACGTTGATTTGCTTGTTGCTAGTTAGGTATGATGAATATGCGACCGGTGACCTTAAACTGCATTCAGTGGGCTTTTGCTCAATCTGAAGGTCAGCTTACTTCGATACGCATTCAAAACATCTAACATCGCCAGTTGGCGGGTGTATATGCGTCGTCCAGGACGTCCCCCCAATCTCACATCAGAGTATACAAGTGCTAGGTCAGTGTCCACACATGTGCTCCAAATCGGGAGATAGTTTTGCTCCCAGCCTGTTCAGCAGTAGCTAATTGCAATTTGACCAATTTAGGTCCACGATTAGTTCAATGCTGGTAGGCATCATGTCACCCTTCTTCAGGTTTATCCACTGCAAAAGCTATGTTGAAGAAGTTGTTATTCCTGCGTATCCACAGTTCTTCTGAAGTCGACAACATTTGGCAGATGGCTATCCAAGCAGTGACCAGTGATCTAGCAGAACGATTGGCCGTTTTATAGCGCTGTCTAGAGGAGAAACAAATTCCACCAGTGTGAAGTTCATGGTTCATCATACCCTACCAATTACCGGCCAATAACGCAGCTTCATGTGCTTTCCAAACTTATAGAATCAACTCTCGCAGATGCGCAGATTAAGTATCTGGAAAACCATCGCAAAATGGCCCTGGAGTAAAATGGTTTCCGCCAAACCAAATCTTACAGTTACACGCAATAGCTGGACTGAAGCAGTTATCGATGGGGCAAGAGCCGATGCTGGGTGGTGATTTTTGCACCCTCAGAGCCACTCATACCAGAATGGTCAGTGGTTGGAGGCCAGTCAAACTCAGTCTCCTGGCTCTCCAGGTTGGGGTTGGAGTGAGGGTGCTACTTACTCCATAAAACAGGCTCTCTGTAGTCCAATGCCAAAACCCCGCTGGCTTGCGGTAAGGATTTTGAACCAAAGGCTTTGGTTGTGAACCCTAATCGTTCCCCAGTCTAGGCCTGGGCAACCTGACAGCATTCTGCCCACGCAATATGATGAACCTTACTTCTGGCCGTCGCAGTGGATAATCAACGGTACCCTATCTGCTGCAGCGAACAGGGTGGATAGGGGTATGGATGCTACTGCTCATGCCTTCCAGTCTTCTTATCCTCCTTCCTGCACTTTTTCATCTTTATCGTTCCGTTACAACTTTAGTTTTATCCCCCCAATTTTCAACCTCCGAATCCTTGGCCCTACCCCACCTAGCTGCAATAGTCGCTTGTCTTCTGGTTTCAACTCACACACAATCGCAGGGTGTCGCTCCAATCCAGTCGACAAGTCCATGTTCAACCAAGCAGACGAGCCCAGTTTATCCGTTCCTCTTTGGAATCCTCGCGTCTCGCTAAGACTGGCATTCCTCAACGTGCGTACTTTGCTACAGATTGGCCAACAGGCAGCACTTGCCCGCACACTACAGACCCTATCGAACGATATTTGCTGTTTATCAGAAACTCTCCTGCAAGATTCGAACTCCTTGCTTACTCTGCGATCCCCAAAATGCGACACAGGCGCCACATTCTCATTGCGCTTCTTTTGCAATGATGCAGCATCAAATACCAGTCAACCTGGCGTTGGCATTGTTTTGAGTCCCCGGGCTGAAGCTGCCCTGATCGATTGGATTCCAGTCAAACGTCGGATGTGCGACGTTTGATTAGCTGGTTCTTTCCATGCTACGAAGTCGCGCGGGAACAAACGGTGCCTGTTTGTCATTGCGGCCTACGCCCCTACTGTGAAAGAGGATTTCTATCAGCAACTTCACGATCTTCAT